CCGTTCAGGTGGTGCGTCAAGCGGAGGGTGAACAGCTTGATGTAATATGGCGTCAATTTGTTACCAGTGCGGGCGTGGTACCGGAGGTGGTTGACAACGTCCTGGACGGTCTTGATGCGACAATCGTAGATGGCGACAAGGAACGGAAGTGCACAGAGTGCGCGGATGGTCTAAAAACAAAGTTTCTGTCAGGCCGGAAGGAGGAGCAGGAATAGAATCAGAATGCACACCTCTGCAAAGCGTAGAGTACTGATCCCGATGTTGAAGCCATCTCGCAGACCAACGAACTCAAAGGTGTTCCAGGGGGAGCGATGCAAACGCGGATATTTTTCAGCTCTTGTGCTCCTCGGGTGTGCGGTGGTCGCTGATGAGGTTGGGCTACAAACTTTGTGTTAGTCTCCGCGCAAAGGGTTTAAGACACGGCCTCACCTGCATACCGTCCATGTGCTCAAGAATGAACTGCCGCAAGGGATTGGTTGGATCGTTGGCCCGGGGCACTGGTGATTCTTCGTGAAATTCATACCATGGGGCAAGCTGGTCGTGCGCGCCGGGGTCCAGATGTAGCAGAAGATTCTGGGGGATGTTCATGGCCTCCCGCCCAATGATCAAGGCGAGAAGCACCCAGATGCTGATCGGGAGAGGTCCGTGGTGTGATAGATAACAGTGTAGGGCGAGGAATCGACCATGAGCTCGAAAGGTGCGGACACGGTCTGGTATTTCAATATCAATGGGAGAAAAAATAGGGCGAAACATAGTGGATCTGGGGACTTTTTGCCAGAAATGGTGGCGGCTAGCGAGGACAGCGCAACCGGCACGTAGAATAGCGCGCTCCGGACCAACACCGTGAGTGGTGGGCATGCCGGGTGCGCCGCTGGGAGGTAGATAAGAGTCAGTCCGGTCAGTTGCAGAGGTAACGCACAACGCACATGGTGATAGCACGATATGAGAGGAAGAAGGACTCAATGCTGATATCCTTGCGAACAGTATAGACTTCCTCCGCCTCCAAAATGGGGTCGTGCATAGTAAAATCGGAACCCGCAGGCTGTTCTATGTGGACAAGCAGGTCAGTAACACACTCTGCGGCGGCGTGGATGGTCTTGGCGCGAATGACGACGCTAAGAGGGTCACGGAGAAGAGGTGTAACCGTGGACTCGATTCCGGCAGCCCAGTCGGCGATGTCGGAGATGCGCAGAACATCGACTCCGACCTCGAGCGGAACTAGAGGCGGGCAAATGGGAGCCAGCGGCTGCTCCTCCTGAGCTGTGATTGGGGGCCGCTACTTGAGGCGAACGAATTACAGGAGGTGGCGCATCGTCGTCACTACCATCCACCTGAGATCAAGGTTAGTATAGCAAGAGGAGGCACCGGCATCCACGAACCTGCATGGGCGAAGCTAGAGGTGCGTGGCGAGGTCGAACCTGTCGAGTAGATGCAGGAATCTGGACATAGTAAGAAGCCAGTACGGAGGAGCTTGACACCCGACTAACCTGGGCCGGAGGTGAGCGTTGACGAATGAGGGACTGCGGCTGCTGGCCCGGGGGAGGTGGGGTCTGCGGTCGTTGTAGTCCCATTGGAGGAAGAGCAAAGATCAGCGACGCAACCTGGCACGAGGAGGGTGAGATACAATGTAACAGCGAGGAATAAGAGCACTTGCAGTCGTTTCAGGAGGCGGACAGAGGTCAGTATGGCACTCCAACTCAAAGGGCTCGCTGCGAGATGAACCCCGCCCTGGGTGTGGAAGCGGGTCCAGAATGCGCAGGCGTGAATTCCGCTGAGCGGTGTGGCCGCTGTTGAGAACGTGTCAACGGGACAACGGAGGGGACCAAAGCGTGGAGCTGTACACTTGCATCAGAAAACACAGAAGGAGAGGAATGCTAAAATCAAGAGAAAGAAAATGCGCACCAATCAGAACCCATTCCCTGACGCGACCTCCGGGAAAAGCAGTAGGCAACGGGTACACAAACTTTTTGCTGAGTTTTTGGAGTTCGGCGTATCCGAAGGTGTTGTCGTTGATGGTCTTGTGGGTGGCGAAAGTATAGATATCGCCTCTGACGGTCGGCTGGAGCAACTGCCAGAGCTGTCCGTCAAGCATAGCAGTGGAGCCAGAGGCCTCGTCGTCAGGAAATGGGGGGAAAGAGATGTTGTGAGCGTTAAGTTGGCTGATTATTTGACGAGAGAACTCAGCAGGGGACATCAGCCCTTGGGCTGGGACATCAACGTCACAAATCAGGTGGAAGTCCAGGAGCTTCTGCGCGTATTTCCGGGCGTGTCGATTTTGAATCGCGATTTTGGGGGAGCTATACCCTGGAGGGTCGTAGTCCCCGGACAGCCGTGGGATTGGCTGGTGAGTATCAGGAAATACTTGAGTAGAAGGTGGACACACATTCTCAGGCCAGCAAGCAATATGAACGACGACAGTCCCGGTTGAACTACTGCTGGGATACGCATTTCGGGGCCGCTGTGGTTGGCCGCAGTCGCAAACGGCCCCCGGATCAGGGTCCGTGCCGCGTTATTGAGTCGGCGGGTGCCTGTGGTGCCTTGGGCTGGTGCAGGGATGCCCCTGTATGCGTCCATGAGCGGTTGTGCAACCCTGAGAGGCAGTCGTGGGGCTGAAGGGACTGCAGCCAGAGTCTGGGCTGGTAAGACAGCGGCGGTTTGAGGGCTGCCAATGGCGTTAAGCTCTAGTGAAAGCAAGTCGAAAAATGAAATGATGTGAACATGATCAAGTCCAATAGCACGTGCGAGAGCCAGGGTGCAGTGCAAATGCAGAGTGTAGTGATTTCCCAGGTGTGAAGGTGCTGTAAAGACATTTTGAGACAAGGCGTGCGAGAAGGAAGAAAGACTTGCTGAAAAGAACCCTCCACAGCCAGTCGTAACGCATCCACCCCGACGGAGCCGAAAGTGCGGGTGCGAAGGGTCCATGGGGGGTGATCCGTGGGATAACCACCGGTATTCGCAGCCAGCGCATTGGTCCTGAGGAGAGGCAGGAGTCTAAAAGTGCGTTGAATGATGTGTTAGGACAAGTTCGAACTACATACACTACATGGCACCTGCGCCTGCTGGATAGGGTCCCAAGTCAAGGTAATCCGGCCCGCGCAGGCAGCACACTGAGTGCACTGACCACGAGGGCCGAGAGGGACGGTCGGCATGAGGGGAGGAAGGAAAGGGGGAGAAAGAATGGAGAAGGGACCAATAACATATTCAAAGTGCGCGTGGTTCCACCCACAGATTATCGCCAAAGCACAGGGCGGCACACAGTGGGGCGGAGCAACGGCCGGGGACGCGCACACACGTGCAGGTCCCACCACATGGTGCACCGATCAGTGTTGAAATTCAAAAGACGAGATCGCTGGCGATCTTGAAACAGCTTGTGGTTCAAAATATAAAATTAACCTGTGGAGATTGCTAGTGATCTGGGCGGCGTCGAGATCACTGGTGATCTCGGGAGGCCGCCGAGATCGTTAGTGATCTCGAACACGGGGTGAGATCGCTGGCGATCTGGAGAAAAAAAAGTTGAACTCGCTAGTGATCTCGCAGGATCACGAGTGATCTTAAACGATCCCGAGAGATCGTGACGATTTACAACCATCTGAGCAATGTTCAAAACTTTTGTCCAATAAGGGCCTTCATATTGGAGTCACTTGAGTGACTTGAGTCGGGGGTTTAGTAGAAGATGTATATTCTAGTCACTAGGCACAATTGGAGTAGTTTTCATTTTTTTTTTCCAACCGGGTGTCACGTCTGTGACATATGTCACGACATGTCACACCTGCGTTGGTTTGTGTTTCCATCCAGTGTTAAATACAGATTAAATCTCTAAAAATATAAGAAAGATCCTAAGTACTAAAGGGAAGAATACTGGACTCTCTGATCCATGAAATAGCCCCAGGAACCTGAATTAACAATGGTGTGACTCAACCGACTTGAGTCAACTTCAAGTGACTTTGAGTGACTTGGGCTGACCAAGTCAAGTCAAGTCAAGTCGAAGGTTGCCGTAAGTCGACTTAGCCAAGTCGACTTCCGACTTAACGAGTCGCGGCAACACTACCAGTGTGCAATGCTGAAGAATCACAGGCAACTACTGCAAGGACTCGATGGTAATGCATGGACTGAAAAAAACTAGGCCAACTTATGAGTGTCGAGAACGCGGGGAGTATGTGGGGCAACTCGATTTACGGATTCAAGCCGATGCGATGAGAATAAATAGCAGGCACAATGCACCCCTAGAAAGCTCTGGAAATTAACTTATATAGGAGCAGAATGGTGCTCTCCGTAATACGATGGAAAACAGATCGAGGTGAAACCACGCCTACTTTAAGAGGGATTAAATGTCGAGAGGTGAAGTAGGCACGTTCGAGGTAAGTAAGAGCCCTAGAGGGAAGAAAAGTGAGCGGGGAGATAGGGAGGAAGAACTCACAACACAGTCAAGGTCAGGTAAATGTTTGCATCACATTGGAGTGAGACTCGCCCGATGTATTGAACAAGTGAGACGTTAGTTGAACATTGGATCGAGTCAGCCCAAATACAGCCTGCACGAACAGACCTCGAGTCAACCCGGCATAGCTCACACTGGTAAAAGGCAAATGGGAGGAAGCAAAGTTAACTTGTAATGACTTCCTACTTTGAGGTCAAAAGAAATGAGCCGTAGACAAGCCGTAGAGTGCCAGTGAGCCGGATGATGGGATCATTTGGCGCCGTCGCGGTAACGATCTTCTAAGGATTCCCAATGACTTTGAGGCAGGTGCAACCATAGTGTCATTGAGTACCTCAAGGACTTTTGCCAATGCCCGAGTCCTTGACAATCCTTAGGAATCCTTAGGATTGACAAGGATTCGCGATGACCATCAATGACTGTCAATGACCATCAATGAGTGTCAATGATTGTTGGTAATTTGTCGGGAATGTGCGGGATTTGTTCGGATTGCAAGACCATTTTATTTTTGTCTGATGTCGGCCTTCATAGGATGCTTCAAGTACATTATCGGGACAGAGCAGACAAGGACCTGATGGTGTGGTGGTTAACACGCCCGCTTAAATTAAAATTGTTGTGATTTGTGCAACGCGAGTCCTCGGTTCAAACCTAGGTCAGGTCGTGGGCCAGGATGTTACTTTTTTCGCTCAGAAGTTTTGTTTCTCCATTTTCTTCTGTTAGCACGACGCCCTTCTAGTAATACTTGAGGCACCTCTGCCCATGGCCAGAGCCTGCAGCACCGTGACAAACTAAATAAACCAGGCAAGTTGATTAACAGATTCAATCATGGCTTACACTCGCGGCACCTGGATGCAAACGTAACTAACAGTGTGCAGCTGGTATGTATGACGGTCATTATTAGACAAAAAAGTGTTCTGCATGATGCTGCACATGTGCTGCCATGCAGATGAGTGCTAGCGGATGCAGGCAAATGCAACTGCATGCAGTTGAATGCTTGGTATGAGCTGCACTGAGCTGCACTTTGCCTGCATTCATGAGGTGGATGTGTGTCTTATTCCTGTTGAAAATCTTGACTCCGTGCTGGGCGCGTGCAGCATTCCAGTTCGATCGGTCCCACGACTCCGTCGGTTGGCTTTCTACTCTTTATAAAAATATGTCTGTCCGAAGCCTTTAAACTCCGCTCAGGCATCACCGCATTTATCAACGGCCGCTCCTGAGCTCGGCATAATCGCCGCCCTCCGAGTCAAGTTAGACTCTCCGTTTCAGCATAAACTAGTACTAAACCAAAAATCACCGGATTTCCCTTCCTTCGAGTATTTCCATTACCACTTTTTCTGGGGCTTCCTCAGACTCTCATTGAAAGTCTTTAATATTGAGAATTATATTCTTTGACTCCGCCTTGACTTCATTTCGGGGCCGTTGACTTGAATTGATTCACTTCGGATATGTGCTGGCCCTTAATCTGCAGTGCTGATTGCCTGACTCGCCACCATTTTGCCATTTTCCACTTCCTGCCTCCAATCACGAACGTACTCCTTGATATCAACGGTTTCCTGCGGTAAACAGCTCTCGCATTCGACTCTGGGAGGCAGCCAAACCCTCTCCTACGGTACCGTTGTCCCTGTAGGAAAGGCCTTGCAGGGCTTCTGGTTCTACGAGGGTAGGCTTTAGTTTCACTGCAAAATCCTTATCATGCCCCTCCCTCGACAGTTTTCATGTGGGCACCGGTTTTTTCGCCATGGCGTGGCGTGCCGCAGCGGCAGTGCTGGTGTGTCCCGACGTGCAAGTGTAGGCTTTTTTTTAGGGAGATCAGGTTTCTTGGGTGAGATGACAACCAGCAATGTCCTCTACTCCCTGTAGCAAGTATGGGTGATATACGACAAAAATTAGCAATATTTTACAGGGTTCAGGCCCTTTTTTTTTGCGAACGCCGAACTCGAACGCGGTGTTCGGTTCAGGCATTTCTCGAACCCCGAACCTGAACCTGCGTTCAGGTTCAGTTCGGCGTTCGAACGTGTTCGAACGCGACCAAAATTCGGGCATCTCGGGGGTGCAAAAAACTCGGTCAGAGGAGCATATAGAGGCTATATCTGTTCACCTACCTTGCCAGGAGATCATATGGACCTGCTATATGAGTTCAAAATGGGCCACATCCACCATAAAAATCCAACACTCAAACGCGGCAACATTACTCGAACCCCAAGGGGAAAAACTCACCATCAGGTGAGCTCTGATATAACCGACACTCTGTGTGAGCATGCACTGAGAAGAATAAATGCAAAAACTGACCTTCAAGCACCGAAATTTGCGAGAAATTCCTGCGAAAGGGGGCAAATAGGTTCGGGGTTCGGTTCGAGTTTGATGTTGGCCTTGACGGCGCGAACACCGAACCTGAACGCAGTGTTCGGTTCAGCCATTTGCCGAACCTGAACGCCGAACGCGCGTCCAGTTCAGGTTCGGTTCAGGTTCGGACCGATTTCCGAACCGAACCTTGCCACCACTAACTGCCGAATACTATTTCAACCAGGGGAGTGAAAGCAGGCGTGTTAACCATTACACCATCAGGTCCACACTCAGGCTGACCTTCGTTGCTAGGTATAATTCCGAAACCTGGTTACTGCAAGCAAAATATAATGGATCTGGAATTTTGAAATCTCAGTGGACTGTTGAACCACTCCTGGGTAGTAAGTACTGACTCAAGGACCATGTCTCAAACCCGTAATTCGGTGCTCTAATCTTATCAGCTGTACACTTTTTTTCAAGTTACGTCTGCATCGAGGCGGGTGTGAGCTATGAGTAAATCTAGTAATCGACTTGCCTGGTTTATTTAGTTTGTGCTGCCAGTGCAGGCTCTGAGCAGAGGTACATACCAGGGCTGCCTTGAGTATAATGGTGTTGTGCTGACAGAAGAAAATGGAGAAACAAAACTTCTAAGTGCAAAAAATGCATCGTTATTAACAATGGACCATGACCTGACCTGACCCGGGTTCAAACCGGGACTCCCGCTGAACAGGTTAGGCTCGGCTTATCTTAAGCGGGCGTGCTAACCACTACACCATTAGGTCCATGCATACTCGGCGCCGATAATAAACTTGAAGCATCTAGTTACTGTACGATCCTGTATGGGAGCAACGGCTCCGGGACCGTGACACACCCGTTGCCTTTTTTTCAGGCAACATGACCTACCGTGAGCGTGACGGTTGCTCAAAGAAGCAACAAGAAATAAATTTGCGCAGCAACTGCGCAGGTATAATTTGGGTATTATGGAAGTTTGTGCACTTGACTGCTGTTAGGGCACTAAATTCTTGGTTTTTCACTTATTTCAGGTGCTTTCGAGTGCATAGGAATTTTTCCAATTCTTTTTCTTGCGGCGTCACGATAAATTCAAGGCAACGAGCCTCGTCGTGACCGTGACCCCGGCAAAAACAAGCAACGCAACGGGGCTCCCGTTACCGTGACCGTTGCTCCCATACAGGCTCATACAGTATGCCCGCAAATGCACCAGTCACTCAATTCGGACGGCTCACCTTCAGGACTCAGTCACAACCACATAAGTACTGCACATGCCTAGAGAAAGGTAGTAGCAAAACGAAGAAATGAACAAAACACCGCTCGAAAGTTTTCATAAGCCCACCCCTAATCGAACAGGGACCTCCCGAATGCATGCTTATGTGCGGACAGCTTTAATTGTGTCAGGCGTGTTAACCATTACACCATGGAGTCATAGCAAGCCTGCTGTAATACCTGGCCTGCACCGGAGGCTGGGATAGTGAGCTGTCTCAGTTGAGTGTCCACCTCACCTTCGTCACTTCGTTACTTCGCGTAAGTTGACGGTGAAACGGGCAAGATGCGCTAACAGTGAAAATGGGCTAAATAAGCTCTGAATGCGGGCTAGCTGAACACTAACACACCACACACAAAACCTAACACAACACCAAATCCCCTACTTATACTTCACTAAGACTAAGCGCGTCTTCCTCAGTGAGTTTGGGTCCGAGCTGTAGTATGCGACTACTGGTTTGGATTCCTAGCACAACGAGAATTGAATTATGGCCTCAACTATCCCAACTAAACAAACACCACACTATTCGCTAGCTACCCTTGACGTTCCGAAACAAGACTTCCCAAGGTTGGGATGTACAGGTTTGGGGGTGATAAGGATGTTTACTAGGCGGACGCACAAAGTGCAGTCGTCCTAGGCGAGGTAAATGAAGTGTCTATCTGAAAACTCCCACTAATGGGCTATGCTGCTTCTTCTGCACTTCCTCTATGGCTTGGCTAGCTGAATACTGCTAACGGCCGACTTAGACTCCTCTGAATCCAAGCTCTTTTCTGTTACACTTGGGCTTATTAAGGACCCCGGGTATTCTCTTAGCTCAACTAGTCGGTCAATGAATCGACTGGCAGTTCTACCAAAGTGCTGTGCCGGGCGTGGTCCGTTTTACGGGAGGCGTTTCCTGGTCACCCAATGCGTAGCTACCACTGAAGTCCACCACAAAGCTAGCCGCAACTCTCAAACTTAAACTCTTGTGCTCTCGGTCCTAATTTATACGTGGAGATTGGCACCGCTCACAAACTCCCAACGCGAAGCTTCGACTTATTGGTTCACACAGTTACTTCTGGATCCAACAAACAGCGCTGCGATTTCTATAGACTGGACTACAACAGAGAAGGTACTTTATCTCCGCTTCGACTGGCCTGAGCACACCCTTATCGACTGAGCGATGAGCGGGGCATGAACTGGTCTCTAGCGGTATTTTATGAGGCTTTATATACTGTTCAGAGGGAAAATGATGAGGTAAAGAGAAATGAGTAAAACAGGCCGATGTTCTGGTCATGCGACCGCCTCCGGAAGACAAGCCGGGTCCATTCGTGGTCTAGGCCTGCCTAGCTGGCCAACTATCTGACCATCTCGACAGCCAAGCCGGGTATAATTGCCTTTCTCAGCGTGCTAGTCTGCACCCGAGCAACTCTCCATGTGCAACTCCACTCTGGAACTACTATTCCCGGTGCAGCTTGCTCATAATCACGCCATTCCACCCCGCTATCTTACGGACTGAACATCCTAGCGTTCATCCACTGCTCCATCTCAACATGAATTCACTGTTTCCGCTATTTGTCTTTGTTAGGCTCTTTGGATCGCGTCGCGTCCATCACCTGACCTGCTGGTGGGTATACTCCTATACCCCTATGGTTGGTCCCTTCGCATTGTCTCAGCTAGCGCCACTTCGACCGCTACTGTATTGACTTCAGCAGGGTATGTCCAGCTGCTATGGTACTAGCCGCCTCCCTACACCTGCTAGCTCGCTCGTGCTCGTTCCTACTCTGCGCTAGCTCCGACCAAAGCTCCGTCTGTGCAGTTGTTGGTCCTCGTTCTTAGAATCCTTGACACTCTGAGGTACTAGACCTGTATGTTTATCTCCTTGATGCGTGTATTCGCCTAGTGTAACGCTTGTAAACCGCGCCTAGCACTATAACTCGTACTACAGCCAGCAGCCGGAGCTCACTCTGACTCTCCTTTGTACCACCGAACAGAGTTCCCATTGCTAGTTTGTAGCCCTGAGAAGCTAGTAATGGGCCTAATAGAAGCTAGCAGACTTCGTCATGTGCTAGCTCTAAAAAGCGCAAAATGTAGCTAGATGGCAGCACATTGCAAACGCG